CTGTCTATCTGTCTATCTGTCTATCTGTCTATCTGTCTATCTGTCTACCTGTCTATCTGTGCTGCAGTGTCATTCAGTGTAATGTAGCGTAGTGTAATGTAGTATAGTGTAGTGGAGTGTAGTGGAATGTAGTGTAGTGTAGTGTAATGTAGTGTAGTGTAGTGTAATTTCGTGTAGTGGAGTGTAGTTGTGTAGTCGTAGGTGTAGTTGTAGTGTAGTGGAGTGTAGTGTATTGAAGTGTAGTGGAAGATAGTGTAGTGTAGTGGAGTGTAGTGTAATGTAGTCTAGTGTAGCGGAGTGTAGTGGTAGTGGAGTGTAGTTCTGTAGTTGTATTTGTAGTTGTAGTTGTAGTGTAGTGTAATGTAGTCAAGTGTAGTGGAAGGTCGTGCAGTGTAGTGTAATGTAGTGTAGTGGAGTGTAGTGTAGTGTAATGTAGTGTAGTGTAGTGTAATTTCGTCTAGTGGAGTGTAGTTGTGTAGTTGTGTAGTCGTAGGTGTAGTTGTAGTGTAGTGGAGTGTAGTGTAATGTAGTGAAGTGTAATGTAGTGAAGTGTAGTGGAAGGTAGTGTAGTGTAATGTAGTGTAGTGTATTGACGCGAAGCGACATCCGAACCTCCAAAAGTGGTCCGAACCCCTGGTGCTTTTAACATTTTGAATTCGAAATGTCCTTCGCGCCACAACGGCGTGCACTTTTTCGACATCCGAACTTCCAAAAGCGGCGCGAACATGTGGTGCTTTGTGCATTTTGACTTCGAAATGTGCTTCGCGCCACAACGGCGTGCACTTTTTTGACATCTCAACTTCCAAAAGTGGTCCGAGCATGGTGTGTTTTGTACATTTTGACTTGGAAATGTGCTTCGCGCCACAACGGCGTGCAATTTTTCGACATCGCAACTTCCAAAAGTGGTCCGAGACCGCCAGTTTTTAACACTTTTGACTTCGAAATGTGCTTCGCGCCAAAATGGCGTGCACTTTTTTGACATCTCAACTTCCAAAAGTGGTCCGAGCATGGTGTGTTTTGTACATTTTGACTTGGAAATGTGCTTCGCGCCACAACGGCGTGCAATTTTTCATCGCTCCTCTGGCCAGCTGGCTCCGCACCCGCCGCTTTAGCGAGCCTACTTTTCGACCCTCCGGAGCCACAAATCATTGGAAAAACACAGTGTTTCGCGACTTTCGTCTTCTTACTTTTTCTCTTCTGATCTTCTCTCTGCTAATCTTCCTCTTCTCTCTGCCTCTGCCCTGCTCTGCTTTTCATCTCTCCATATTGTCGGAAGTTTGACTTCTAAACTTCCCTCGACTACGCTACATTACACAACACTAATTACACTGCACTACACTAATTAGACTACAACTACTACAACAGCAGCAACTACTACTACTACTACTCCTACTACTCCTACTACTCCTACTACTCCTACTACTCCTACTACTCCTACTACTACTACTACTCCTACTACTCCTACTACTCCTACTACTACTACTACTACTATTACTACTACTACTACTACTCCTACTACTCCTCCTACTACTCCCACCACTCTTACTACTACTACTCCTACTACTCCCACTACTCCTACTACCTACTACTCCTACTACTCCTACTTCTACTCCTACTCCTACTCCTACCACCACCACCACCACCGCCACCAAAGCTACAACTACAGTTACAGCTACGCTACATTAGACTACAATACGTTAATTAAACTGCAGCACATTACAGCTACAACTACAACTACAACTACACTACATTACACAACATTATGCTACACTAGTTACATTACATTACACTACAACTGCAACTACCCCTACATTGCACTACACGACACTACACTACAACTACAACTACACTACTTTACACCAGTACACAACACTACAGTACACTACAATGCACTACACTAACTACACTACATTACAAGTACAACTTACAACTACAACTCCACTACACTGCAACTACACCTACAACTACAACTACAATTGCATTACGCCACACTACATCCAGCAGTTGTGGTGAGGTGACCACTGCAACCATTGCAACCACTCCAGAAGCACAACTCCAACCACCTTTCGGTCCATCAGTGCATCAGTGGATTCGCTCTGCCCTCCGTGAGTCACAACAACCAACCCGTCCTATAGGTTTCCTATGTTTTGAACTTCCGCCACCGCCTTGCGCGGTACTACTGGTAAGAGGAGTTGTTGCTCAACATGAGTTTCGCAAAAGATAAACATGGAGTTCGCGGGAGATTCGCAAAAGAAATTTGTTATTCACGAAGCATGGCCGTTTGCACATAAAGGATTTTAGATCAACCGCCATATATGCATGTGTTTTTTTAGGTATTTGCAGCAAGTATATGTGCGATTCTTCTTCTATCTATATTCGAACCCAGACTCACACTTCTACTGGGTCATTTTTACTTTGACACTTCTGCTCGCGCCGACACTTAAATTTTGAGTTTATACTTGTCATAGTCTGTCATTTTTTGCATCCACTTAGCCTTCTACTTTATATTTATCTATCTATCTATCTATCTATCTATCCATCTATGACTCCATCTATCTATCTCTCTCTCTCTATCTATTTTTCTTTCTATCTATCTATCTACCTACCTACCTACCTAATCTATCTGTCTGTCTGTCTGTGTGTCTGTCTATCTGTCTATCTATCTATACACGTACATATACATATTTTTCACATCCAAGACAACCATCCGGGCAGCAGATCAATGCAACACAAGCTGGTCAAACTCCTGTTGCTCTGTTGCAGCTGTCCTCTCCTGTGCATTGCAGGACGTTACTGGCTTCTGCTCGGTTTCTATTCGTTTGCTGTTGTCTTGATCTCAGCTTTTGCACCTTATGTTGAATAACAACCTCGGAAGCAAATAGTGCCGTTCAGGGATTGCTGCGGTGTATTTTTGCATGTGGCGCGCTGTGGATACCAACCGCATCTGTTTTTGCAACACTCTTAGAATATATGTTTGTATAGAATGTATGTATATATGTATATACCCATGTATCTATATATATGTATATACGCATACATACATGCGTATATGGATGTCATGCGTGTAATCTATAATAGTTAAAAATATATATATAATATTTAGTGTGTATTTTATAACATTTGAATACAATGCATGATATATCATATTCTATTTGGTAGATTTTTATTTCAAAAACAATATGCAAACTATAATATTTAATATATTTTTTTAGGTATATATATTTATCGTAAGAATACAATGTATATGATTGTATGCGCGCATCTTTTTATATACATTACATATGACATGAGCGGTCCATTTATTTTTTATTATGCATATATCTTTATGGATATATGTGCATATAATGTTTTTCGTATGTATATTTACGGTTCGAGCACCCCAAACATATCAGGTTATCCTCAGGCTTCATCCTCCAGTGTTGCAGCTCAGGTCTTGACGGTCTTCACAGTACGGAAAGCACGGCTAAACTTTTGGTCTGTTTGCCCACTACCAGCTCTGTATTGTGCTCCTCAGATGCACTGACTCCCGACATGGAGAAATCATTGCAGCCGGCCCCAAAAAATCAGTCAAAATTTCATCAAAGAATGCATCCGAGGTTTACCTGTGCTACTTGGCCTACAAGGGCCGTGAGGAGATGTTGTTTGCAGTGCTTGTATGGTAGGGGTTAATGTTAAGGACGGATGGAACTTAAACGTTTCATGGCGTTTCTTGTATGGGAGAGATTCAGCAACAATGCCATTAGCACAGCTAAGAACACAGACGATGTGTGTGAAGAACCTCAGAATCTCTTGGACCGGCGCTTACTTTCTAGGGGTAGTAAAGAATCACACAGGGATTGTCAAGCCAGTCCGATCTACACTTTTGGCATGCGAGTTTTTATTTTGAAAGGCACCTAGCCCAGACCAAAAGAAGCAGTTCATTTTGAGGGGCCAGAAGCCTGTGCGGACTGTGTCCTGGCAGGACGAGACAGAGAGGTACATCAGATTGAGGCCGGGCGCGTTTGTCCTCAGAACTTGGAATGCGTTCGTTTCCTTCCTTCTTGGTTACGCTTGGTTGGTACTCTTGTTGGAATCTAATCAAGTTGAGACATGTAACGGCACAGCTTGTTGCATGCTGCTTGCCGATTTGTCAGAGGAAGCGGCGCCGGAGTTTCTTGGCCCAAAGGATGCAGAATTGTTTGCAGGATCCAATTTTGAAATCGTATCTTGCCCTGCGGATCACTTGACCTGCCACTGTTGCTCTGGTTCACGGATTTGAGCAAGGAAGAAACCGACTGTGCTGATTGCGCCAAGGCTCTACAGATGCAGCGATGGACAATGCCTTGGCTTGCCTGAGCTGCTTGACTTTTCAAAGGGTTGAGCGCTCTAAGCGCGCCAGCATCACCACAGGAACAGCACCATCTGCAAGCAGAAAGACAGTTATAAACGTGGCAAGGGCCTGATACACACTCAAGAATTGTCAATTGTCACGATAGTAATTTGGAATATATGTTGGAGGAGCTTTGGAGTGAATATGTACATGTATATATATATATAAATAAATAATCCTCCTTGCAATTTCCTCTACAAAATCGCAACAGTTAAGCTTGGGAACATGGTGCGTTTTAGGGCCCTCCTTTGTTTAGGGGTACCTACCCAGTGTCAGCATTTGCAATTTTATAGAGGAGCTTGGTGTCAGCGATTGTATAGAGATTTCATGTTGAAAACAGGTTGACACTGAAACTTGGAGCAAGAGCGACTAGAGTATTCAGGCCAGCTGTCAATGAATGAGACTTGGGGAATCTGATTTTATAGAAGGCCAACTAACCCCCCCGACCTAAAAAAGGCTTTACGAGAGTGACTTGGCGTCAGCTATTCTATAGAAAATGATGCTCATAAACAACCTCAGTGACAGCAATTCTATAGAGATTGTCAACTTGAAAATATCCTGGCCTCTCTGATTCTACAGATCCATTATCAAAAAGAGGGTCAACGTCTCCAGGTTTATCACTATAAAATTGCTCACACCAACACTTCACTTAATTCACAAGGGGATTATATATATATAATTATATATATATATATCTTGTATGTCGCAGATGGACCGAGGGATCTGCTTCCAACGGGTTTGACGTCGTGTAGTTTGCATCAGCTAGCAAGCAAGCCATCAAGCAAAGGTATTCCTTTCGGAGAGGATGAGACAGCCTGCAATCGCATTCTTTGGGCGATGCGCCTCGGAGCCACAAATCGGAATGGGCCATGACATGGGCACTTTGCACCTACCCGCATGGCATTTGGAATGTGGACTATGGTGGCTTCCAGGCATGAGGTTGCAACTCCAAAAGGAGCTTGGTCAGATTTTTTCCCCCTGATTAAGGTAGGCAATGGAATGCCAAATTCTTGGGCCGCCAAGTTTGTCAGATAGAAGATGCAAAGCCATTGAGTCCCGACGACCTCAGTCCTTGTCGTGTTGCTCAGGATGCTACCATTCACAGCCCGTAGCCCAGCCATGCAAGCATGTCATCACAGAAGCTAGCAGTATTTATTTGTCGTTTTATCAGCAAAACCCTTTTCCGATTTCCTCCTCACTCTGTCCATATGTTATGTAGTGTGCCTTCTTCGTCTTCCTTTGAGTCTGAACTCGGTTTCTCATTAGCGGCTTTTTTCCAGCTCCCCTTCTCATATTTTTCCCGAATGCATAGCAAGGGTTCCTGTTTCACTCGGGGGTCTGGGGGTTGAGGGTGTGTTCGCTCGACGTTGCCCAACCGTCCGCAACAGTCCGCAACGGTCCGCACGAGCCCCGTATGGCATTGCCTATGGTAAGTTCTGCAAAAGGTCACTCTTGGAGGTTGCACACGTCGTGTTGCGTCGCTTCACGCGGCAGGCGTGCCACTTCGTGACATTCAGAGGTGACATTCAGACGTGTTTCGTAACGTGTCGAAAGTATTCGAAAGTCGTTTTGTAGCGCAGGCGCAATACGTTTGCGCCGTTTTCAGAAGATGCGTTGCAGTTTTCGTGGCTGGCACAGCACTTTGGACGTGTCCATCGTCATTTTGCGTGGCAGGCGCAGACGTGTCGTGTTGCGTGTTTTTTGCGAATCGCATTGTCAGGGATGCGTCAAGTGGCGACAAGGTGCAAATTCCGTGGCAGGCGTGGTATTTTGGGACATGTGATGAAATTGACGGAAGCCTCGCACGAAACATCGATTTTGAGGTAACAAATTTGGAGGTTCATAAGAAAACTCGTTGGAAAACATCGATTTTGAAGCTACAAAGTGTGAAAATATGAGGAAGTGTCGCACGAAATGCTCGTTTTGATGTTCCCACGTGTTTCGTCTCGAGTCTCTGGTTTTCCTGTGGCCTCGCCGTGTCTATGGGGGAATCTGCAAAACCTCTCCTTTTCGAAGGTTTCCAAGCAGGTTGTCATGTCGTTTTGCGTGGCAGGCGCGGCACTTTGTGACATTCCAATTTGTTTGATAACGTGTCGAAAGTCGTTTTGTGTGGCAGGCGCCAGGCGCAATACTTTTGCGACGTTTTCACAAGATGAGTTGCAGTTTTCGTGGCAGGCGCAGCATTTTGGAGATCTCTGTCGTCATTTTGTGTGGCAGGCGCAGCACTTCAGACGTGTCGCATCGCGTGCTCTACACTCCACACTCTACACTCCACACTTTACACTTTACATTCCACACTTTACACTCCATACTTTACACTCCAGACTCTACACTCCACACTCCACACTTTGCACGCCACCTTCTTCCATATTCCACCGTCTACGGTGCACTGGTATGGTAACAGAGGAAAATGCACAAGACTTTTCAACTAAATTGTTGCACAATTAAAATTCTTCTACGCGACTGCATATCCATGTGTTTCGACATCGGTACCATTAACATACGTGTGAGCATTCGGGTTTGCGGGCTGCATCTTGTTTCATACCTGTTCTTTCTGTTTATCTAGCAATGTTTCTTGCCAAGTCATTTTCTGATCATGCAAAGACAACACGCTGAGAGACCTCCCCAGTCATGGACGGTAACCCGCAGGTGATTCGCTTGGCCACAATGCCTCCCTGCGACATGCGCTGGGATGGCTCTCGCCGGATATGTCATGCAGTTTCTCCGGTGGGTCGGATCCTCATGACAGGGCTATGGCAGGAATGCGTGGGGCCTCAAGGGAAAAAAATTGCAAGTAGGCAGCAGAATGCGGTCAAAGCCTGAATAATTTGGGTATGGATATAATTTGAATTATTGAATATCGCTGATTTATTTGCAGTTCGAACAGTTCCAACCATGAATTAGCATGCTGCGGCAAATGCAGCGAGATCACAAACTGTCAGAGATCCAACCTTTTTGTTTGAGTACCTTGGCATAAGGGAAGACCTGGATGGTCGCACAGGCCTGTACTTTCTCTTTGTGGTGAGGGGCTACGTTGAGATGCCAGACCTCAAGCATGCAGCCACCTGGCTCAAAAACAACGTTGTTGGAAGAAGTGGTACTGTGCCGACCTGTGGACGCCCGACGCTTCTCTTCGCACCGGTTGTGTCTCTATGCTGACCCTTCAACTTACAATCTGCGGACATGTAAAGATGATAAAGATGTCAATGCTGTTATGCTCCTACCTCTCAGGCCATAGCAGCAGCAGTCCTATTGCCGTTGTGCGTTTGCGCCTCAGCGACGGGTGCGTCCCAGGAATTGGAGGCCCTAGAGACATCAGTTCAGCAGGAATCTAGCCTTCAAAGTTGTATTTAGGCACGGCTTGGTACGGAGCAATGGAAGGCTTTGATTTTCTGCCCTGCTGGCATTGTGTCTGAGGTCTTGATATACATAGCTGGTGACAAACCAGCTGTCATCAAAGGAACTCGAGCAGACTTGCCTTGGTTGTATATGCCGATGACACTTGTGGGACTAGCGGCTGGGGCTTATTGGGAAGTGAACGATTCGGCGTTTGTGAGGCGAGGTTAATGCTTATTTTTGCAACCGCACAACCAAAAGAATTTGCCTGATGAAGTTTCGGTTTGAAGCCCACTTTTGAAAGGGCGCCCCAAGTTGAAAGCCTGATTCAGTCTGTGGGTTGCAGGGCTGTGAGGATGGCCAGTTGCAAAGACGCATTGCAGATTTTTTGCTTGCAATATGCTGCCATGAGCTTTCCTTGCGATGATGCTAAGGTCAGTGCAGTTCTTTGGCTGGCTGCCTTGTCCAAGGAGGGTCAGCGAGCAATGTCCTTGGTAGATGTGCCAGACTTGCGGGTTTGACCCACAAAGGTGAGGAGACTGCGGATACAAGATTTTACAAGTAGAATTCAGACATCAAAGAAGGCTGAGATTTTGGACCGCCAAAGGCCAAAGATTCCCCATTTAAGGCCTACTTTGGGTACACCTGACTTCTGGACATGCCGACACGAGTTTGTGAGTGGGCCTGAAGTGACATGTCTCATAATTTGCAGAAGCTGTGGGTTCAGCAGCTGATGGCTGCGTTCCAATACAAAGCACCCAGCAATACTTCGGTGCTGTGCCAATCCCAAATGAAATGATTGCTGCAGGAAATCACCGCGATACTGGAGGGCGTGTGTCGTTATTTTCAAGTGAGCAGGCTTCGGTCAGGATTTACTCTTCTGGCATGGGGCGCCTTCGGCAGAAACCCGAGGATGGATGAGTCAAGTCTGCGTGTTTACGCAGGGAAAGGCTACACTGCAAATCATTCACATCCGTGATATAAGTCTTAGCCAATTGGTTGGCATTGGTTGCCTTATTTGTGGATCATGTGGATGCCAATGGGTCTTACTGAGGGAAGGGCCCAAGGTTTAAGTGTCCTTGGCCGGATGCACGGTTTGAGCCACCGGCAAGGTAATTGTGCCTCTGATTTGGTCGCGGCCTACAGCCTTGCGGTCATGAATGAATATCCCCTTGCACTTCATGGTCTCTTGACTCGGCTGAAAGATGTTGAAAGCAGCTTTCAACTTTACCATTGTGCTGGGCCGCTGGGCATCCGGTCTGTGCTCGTCATGTTGGCAGAGCTTTGCTCCAATTCCGAGGAATTGTGGCGACCCAATTCTTCAATCTATCTGCAACTTGGCCAGATTTTGCGCATCTTCATCGTACATTTTGGGCGCATTTTGTTAGTGTTGGCAGAATTGTTTCTCTGTGTTGAGGTGGGGTTCCCCTCTTCACTCCTTGTCATCACCTGGCGAAGCCCTAACCTTGCCATTTTTGAAAATGGTTGGCCTGGCTCCATCAGGGATCCTTTGCTCGCTACTCGGCCGATATCTATTTCTGATTCTTTCTGTTTTTGTGCTGGCTGTTGAGTGGTACAAGGGAAAGTTTTACAAAGACGAGGCAAGAAGGTAAAACATGGTAAAACCATGCGAAATCATTTGACGATAGGCAGGCCATTTTCCCATTTTCCCATTTACTGACACAGTGAATGCCCGGACCCATGTGAGAATGGAGGATTGTGTTCTAGCTGAAATCATTGGCCAAGAACGGACAGTTTTCTACTGCTGACATTAATTGACGCATGGATAGACAGTTTGCCGATTTACTGACGCGCTCCAAAATGTGACATTCAATGGGGTGTGATTTTAGTGCTTGAAGCCAGCTTGGAACGGATGATAAGTTTGAATTGATGGGGTGAGAGGCGAAAACCAGTTGATGATGGATGGACATTTTGCCCATTACTAACACAATTGGAGGTTGTAATCATGCTACCGTTAAACCGTTTTGACAATGGATGGACAATTTTCTACTAACGCCCTGAGAGCTTGACGAAGTTATTTGACAATGGATTGGTAGTTTTCCAATTTACTGACACAACGAGAGATTGATAATATTTGACAGTGGATGGGGGTTTTCTAGGCTGGAATCATGTGGCAACGGATGGGCAGTTTTCTGCTGGCGCTTGTTGGACAATAGGGATGAGTAGGGTGAGCTGGTTGGACACTATCACTTGACTGCAGGTATGCACCTGCTCAATTGCTGTGGCTGCCACTCGGCCACCTTCGCGGTGGGGTCACAGTTACAGACAACCAACAACCGAACTAGAAAATGGTTCTGACCCATGTGAGGATGTACTGGCATATATTGGATTATATTGGCATTGGATGGAGCAAACCAATTCAAGCGCGGATCCCGAGGTTTCTACTTTGGCCCTATATAGTATGTTCGATTTGCAGGTGAAAAGCATTTCATCGGCCATGGCATCCTGTCTGCAAGAATTTTACAAGACAAGGCCAGCAAGTGAAGGTGGAGCTTTGGATTACTTGCAGTATCAATTTTCCTTACCTAGGTGCTGATATTAAATTATCTACTTTTCCTTATTTTCATGTGGTTGAATACAACGAAAGACGTGCCACAGCAACTTAGCGACATATAACAATTAGCATTTCATAAAATTAAACATATTACTTATAGATAAATTATAAACATGTTTAAAAATATTTGAGGTTGAAATTAATATAAACGATATATAGTTAATATGTTAGATTGATCGTATATATAATTTATGTATAAAATATTATTTTGTAATATGCCTTATGTTTTTTATTTTTAAATTTATTTAGTTTACTAAAATATCGATATAAATAAAATTGATCTTATCCCGTATTCTTTTATCGCAATCTGGAACATCATGGCGTTTTAAAATTTGATTTCCTAATTTATCCAAGACTCATCGATGATCCCGGCATCGCAACCAGATCGCTTTCGCACTCTTCGACGTCCTCATCATGAATGGCATTAACCTGTGCCGACGTTCCGTGTTCCGATGCATTGTGCAATGACAACTCCTCGACCTTTTTGGCCTAAACCTGGGGATACCGCCGCCGCCACCTTTAACCTCTTTATTCCCTTTACGCCTAACATGGAATAATATGGAATAACACTGCGCTAAATCCGTTATTCTTACCTATACCTCCAGTCCTCCCTCATGGACCTCAAGATTACATTACATTCACACCCCAGAGGAATAGTACCACTACACCGAGATTACCGCTGTCCGTTAACTCGCCACTTGGCCTTTCTCCGGTTCGTGAGGGATATACTGTGGTACAGTTGGTATCGCGGTACTTTTGTGTCGCTGATAGACTGCCGGGGGTGATTTATATTGATGATATTTCCCTAAACAAAATGTTTATATTGAGGAGTTCTTACGATAGGTGTAAAGGTTGGTATTTGATGAGGGTGTTTACTTTGATCTGCGGTGTTTTTACTTGTAAATGTCCGTTTAAAATGGCTTTTGTAAAATATTGAACTGTAAATCGATTGTGTAGGCTCGTATAAAGTTTGCGCCGCGGTTTCGGGCCGCGGTGTTTATCTTGTAAATGTCTATAAAAAATGGCTTTTGGGAAATATTGATGTGTATTTTGACTGCGCAGACTCGTATAAAGTGTATTTTTGCGTTCTGGGATTAATTTGGGCCGCCGTATTTTTTCCTGAAAATTCCGGTGTAAAAATACTCTTGTGAAATGATGACGTAAATTTCGGCTGTGCCGGCTCGTACAAAGTATGTGTGTGTGTGTGTGCGCGTTTGTGGCTTACTCTGGGCCGTGACAATTTTTCTGTATTGTGAATTGTTGTTTTGTATCTTAACTACATAGACTCGCGTAAAATAAATATCCGTATTCTGGGATCGCGCCGCCCTCGAACATTCTTAACATTACTATCCTCCATCTTGTTTTCTACTTTATCTTTTGTATTTTTATCCTTATCTTTGTCCTCCTTAACACTATTATTTTCTATATAATGAGGCTGAGGATAATAATATTAAAGAGAATAATTAAGATAAGGATAATAATATAAAAAGGAAAAAGAAGAGAATAAAGTAAAAGATAAATATACTAAGAAGAAAAAGAATAATAA